TACTAAGTGTTTGAAAACAATATGGCCCCCGAGCAGTATTCTACATGCATACCTACATAATTTATGGCTTTAGAAGCCTTAGATTAAAATAAAGCACATGTTTGATTTGATTTGATTTGTCTGAAGCTAGATAACGTTGCAAAGTAGACTTGTTTCAGTCATTTAAAGAGTCAAACTATGATGAGGGACAGCTCTAATGTGTACCTCGTGCGAAGGGTACAATGATAGCAAAGTCAGCTGGCACAATTAGAATAAATATTAGTGAAAAGGCAATTTTCTTCAGTGTCACTTCTAGTGCTATTTATCTTATTATTTAGGAACATAGCTACAAAATTACAAATTTAGTGTGATATAAACTTTGTTTTGTGTTAAGGTAATAACTGTTTTGGGAAGTCAGTTCTATTTACAAAATAATAGTGCTCTGTTATAAAGCTTCAACAGATTCTCTGGAAGAAGATCTAACGTACAGACTGAGTTTATATTTTACTTATGACTAAGTGGGTCCCCCTCGTGTGAGTTTTGGGGCTCCCATTGTGGGAAAAACAAGAATAGACACACTGCATCCCCAACAAACATGTCGTAAGAGTCAGCTATTTGAGGGCTTTCTTTGAAGTCAGAGTGCATCTGCCTGAGAGGCAAGAAACCAACAAAATGCATACAAATAAGTCAGATCTGTAAAACAGATGTACACGCATAATCAGGTCCTGGAACAAGGCCAGTGTTCAGAAATGGATGAACAACCAGGTCTTTTCCCCGGAGTTTATAGCCGGTGAGCGCAAACAACAACAATTAAGTGGTTCATGTTAATTTGTTATTCATTCTGGTTATATTTCATTAAGTTTTCCTTGAACAGCATGTTGGTAAGTGGAATTTTTTTTATTATTTTACTAATTTATGTAAACATCCAGTCTGTTTATTTACTAATATTCAACTCCTAATGCATTAATTTGTTGTAGTAGTATTGTAATTTACCATACACAGCATACATGGAAAGAGAAGAAGGTCGTAGAGCAAGAGGTAGACCAAGAACAAGATGGAAGGATAACATTAGAGAAGCTCTACAACAGCACGATGTGCCTATAGTCGAGGCGGCCAGAAGAGCCAGAAACAGAACCTTTTATCTCCCTCGACACCCACAGGGGTAAAAGAGGAAGTGAAGAAGAAGAAGAAGTATTGTATTATTATTCCCCAACAATCTCTGGTCTCAGTTTGATGCATAATTGTGTATGTTGTACAAAATTCGTATAGTACATTTTTATGTTTTACACTTGTGAAATTAAACAATTGCATTACCACCCCTTTGGTCTCTGATGCTAAACCCCCTGGGACTCAAAACAGTTAAAAGTGATCAAGGGAAATCATGCAGCTGAAAGTAAATGTGGTCCTACTCCTACGAGAAACAATCCAAGACTGTCTATGGGAAGAAGTAGAAACCCTACTGAAGATACCCCTGAAGAAGACAATGAGAGGCAAATCAGCAAAATGGCCTGATGTCGAGAGGAAGTTGAAGATTTGGATTAAAGAGCAATCAAAATTCTTATGTCCACCAAGGTGGTTCAGCATAAGGCGAGAAGAATTGCTGGTGACAAAAAGGGACGACTCATGAAGTCGGGCCCAAAAAAAAAGAGTGACTTCCCTTGCCATTCATCCCTGGTTGTGTTGAGGGGCCTCTCCTATGTAGTGGGGGTATCACGCTTAGTGAGCATTCAGCAACACAACCAATTTTACGTGTGATGTCACAGGCCGGCAATATTGTGTGTTCTGTACTCCTTGATGATACAGTTTTGATAGCTGAAAATGCAATTGATTTACAACAACTGCTGGATATTGTGGGGATGGAGAGTGCTAAGAAAGGACTTCATTGAATATTAGGAAAATGGAAGTAATGGTTATATCAAGGAAGAAGATAACTCCATTTGTGATATCTCAGTTGAAGAAAAAAGACTTAACCAAGTCAATACATTCAAATATCTGGAAACAATCATATCATCGGATGGAAAATGTGTGACAGAAATTAAAAGGAGATTAGTTCAAGCGAAAGCTGCATTTCAGAAAATAAAAAATGCAATAAATCACTCTCTTTTCATGTCAGAAAGAGGGTGCTTAAATTTTACATGGAACTTGTTCTGCTTTATGTCAGCGAATCTTAGAATCTCAGTGAACAAATAAGGAATAATTTGGAAGCAATAAAGATGTGGTTTCTGAGGCAAATGTTACGAATACCTTGAACCGCCAGAGTAACTAACAATGATTGCTTGAAAGAAGCTAATGAAAGTAGATCTCTATATACAACAATACCAAAGAGACAAACACTGTTCTTTGGCCATATAATGAGAAGAGAGACATTGGAGAACATCATGACAACTGGAAAGATCAGTGGAAAAAGGGGTAGAGGCAGACCAAGAGAAATTGATGGGGCTGAAATGATGGCATGGCATGATATCATCAAGAGAGCTGTTCTAGGCAACCAGGGATCGTGATCTGTGGAGATTCATGAGTGCCTACGCCAGTTGGCAGGGCACATGATGATGATGATAATCCAAAATGTGAGTGCTTTTAACCATCCCAAAACATATAGAACTGGCCCTAACACAAACCCCCCTAAGCTACGGCCTTAACTTACGTAACCTACGACTGCATGCAGCCTAGACAAAGCGCAAATAAGTTATGTTGCTGGATGTTCACTAAGCGTGACACCCCTGCATCATAGGACAGACCCTAGGACACACAAGGGATGAATAGTAAGGGAAGTTACTCTCTTTCTGGGCTCGACTTCGTGAGTTGTAAAAAAAATTTTTTTTTAAAAAACTCAAAACACTGTTTTTTTTTTTTTTTACTGATTCCAAAGGAGAGCACCACCGATGGTTCAGATTCATAAAACAAAATTCACTAAGCATGCATACACACATCAGACATGCCCCAAAAGATGCCTGCAAGCTATAAGCAGAAGGTCTTTGAATGTTATTGTTTGTGTCATTCAATGTCAGAAGACATACAATGTGAGTGAAACCATATTTTTTCCCTCAAAATTTCTGGCCCAAAATCAAGCTGTAGCTTTTATATGGGATTATCTTATACATAATTTCTGGGGAAATATAGTGTATATTAGGGCTGTACCGAATATTCGCTTCGTAGCCGAATAGTGGACCTAATAACTATTCGGTATTCGGCCGAATAGTTGCGGTCGGGCCGAATACGAATAGTGGTTACCTTACTCCAGTGTGTGTGTGTGTGTGCATGCGAGTCTTTGGTTGTGTGTGTGTGTGTGAGAGAGAGAGAGCGAGAGAGAGAGAGAGAGAGAGAGAGAGAGAGAGAGAGAGAGAGAGAGAGAGATCATTCATTTTTTGTTCTTCCAGGGTGTCTTCGCCCAAATCAAATTTGAAGTTATTGCTAACGAGAATATGAAGGTGTGTTTAAATTACATCGAACGAACGGCCGAGCGAACGATGATTTTGAAAGAGGCGGGAGCCAGAAGACAACTAATCACAGACATCAGAAGGAGACAGTCGTCATTTTTAAGCCATGTTATTAGAAGAGGGAAAATGGAACATGTGGTGACCACTGCAATCTGTGGAAGTAGGGATAGAGGACGACAGCGAGAGAAGATTCTTGACAGTCTTGTTGCATGGCATGGAGGTATGTCAGCACACGAACTGATACATACTGCAGGAGATAGCAGATTCTGGAGAGGCATAATCGCCCACGCCTGTCGGCAATTCACCTGATGATGATGATACACTATTCGTATTCGGCCGAATAGTGAAAATCACTATTCGGGACAGCCTTAGTGTATATATAGCATACATGTCCCCCTATATATATAAATTCCCCACCTCAAACACACACACTTACAAAATGAAGAAGGAAACACACAGATACTGACTACTGGTCAGCGTCTGTGGCTTAAGCGTGTCAAATGCAAAGGTGTTACGTCATGCCAAGGTACTGGGTGGTTCAATCCCAGCAGCAGGAGTTGTATTGGTTTTGCAAGTGGTATCGAGGGTTGATCATCCAGAAAGCAATGACAAACTACTGGATGTAAATTTGCCAGGAAAAACCACAACAGCCAAAAAATGCTGGGGTTGGTTCTGCAACATCCTGCAAAGGATATGCAACTAAATTCTAACTCAATAGTGAAAGGAACATAATTTTGAAATTTAAAACCTTTATAATTGAGAAAGGCCTTAACTCTTTGATTCCCAAGGAATGCAAGATGCATCGTTTTACATCTCTTTTGACTACCCCCTGGGACTCAAAGAGTTAAGGTGCCTGAGTCTCCAGGTTCTGCTGATTATTAGAGATGAGTCAATGAAGATGTAAATATATCTATAACAGCTTGGGGAATGTAAACATTCCTATTCAGTGCAGACCTTCCTTCTCGTATAATTTGTTTAGTCAACTTAAACCATACATGATCATGATAAAATTCCTTCTCCTAGATGTCTCAAGCAACTGTTTAACACCCTGATTTTAAAATAAAAAATAATAGGAATTTCAAGTCCCAATCTGGCTAGCAAACCATTGGTTTTACCAACAGGGCAAATCCAGTTCAACCTCCCCCCAAAAGAATTATAACTGAACTGAGGCACCTATAACATTACCAGTCATGCCAGCCAGCCAGTAGTTCTGTCCTGTGCGGGTAAGGATTATATTAATTATATATTTCTATATGTGACAAACAAAAATGAATTCAGTCATTTCCGGGTTTTGGTATTGTTGGAGTTGGACACTTTACAAGCCGATTCAATGATTGATATAGCATCGAATAATTTTTACATTTCAAATCAATAAAGTAAACAATCTTGATTTAATAACCATACTATTATTATTATTACTAAACATTCCTGGGTTTTACTGTTTAAACCGGAGTTGGGGGTATTGTCAAGCATGGTCCTCAAGTAAGGCACGCCATAGGTCTCTTAGGAGGTATGTGACATATCCAGGAAATGGGAACACAAAAACAACGGTGAAAACTGTTTTGAAAGTTGATATCATCTCACCTGTGGCCATGAAGGTGCAAATCAGCAGAAAACTCAACGCTGAAGGTGACATTCTCATGTCTTGTATGTTGTATAAAACGAACTGGAGAATTTCATGCAACTTATTTCAAATTTTAAAAAAGTCTGATCACTAATAGCCTATACTGTAATGGCGGTACTGCATACTTTTGGTTACTCTGCGTCTGCGTGCGTCTGTGACTGCCGCCTGCTTGTGCCAGGGCTGCCAATGAGATTTTGTCAAAAACCCAGATGGGGCTGACGAAAACCCAAGATATGAACAAAAAATAAAATAAAAAAACCCAGCATTGTGCAAAAAGTATTTTATAGTTATGAAACTGAACATATACTCACCTTTTTTAAACTGTTACTCTCTCTCCTTCTTCACCAATTTCAATTGTCACCGTCTATTTCTGTGTTTTCATTCTGTTTAAATATCTTTGACTAACTGCACCACTTTGCAATTCTTTTTGCAATTCTATATTAGGTGTCCATGTCGTGCAGTCGCTATTTCCTTTTGTGATTGCTTGCCTTGCAAGAATTCGATCTTTTACGGTGTCGGCTTTCAGAGAATTCGTTTGTTTAGTTTTGATACAGTTGTCAGGGAAAATATGCGCTCAACCGCTGCTGACAAGTGAGGCAAAATAGTCAGGTTGGTCATAAAAGCGGATAAAATGTCAAATTTTACATTTGAAGCCATCTTTTATGCTTCTCAATTGGTACCAATACTGCCATTCCTCTTTGAAACACTGAGCATACCATTTTCTTTTCTTCGATGGTGTAATCTGTTCACTCATTTTGAATTCAACAAGGTTATAATCAGAGTAAATTTTGATAGCACAGTTCAACAAACGACAACACAGCACACACACACACACACACAAAAACCTAGTGAAAACTTAACTGAAGGTCCCTCCCTAGTAGTCCTTAGTTGGTTTCTGCTAATCTGCTTTCTTTCAATTCAAATAATAAGACGCTACAATGTCAGATCAATAACCCCTAGAAGAGAGGTAAAGCCTCCCAAACTTTCTTCAATAATTAAATGTCAGGTCCCTTCTTTCTTCTGTAAAGTTTACGATCAAAAGTCCCAGGCTTCATCTATTTTGCTTCTCCACCCCTAGTATCTGTTACCTAAGGGACACTACTTGGGGATCGTAAATCTGGTTCTTTGATGGTCTGCTACCTTTTTCCTGAATAGCCCTGGAGTTAACCTTTGTATTCTGTTACATTAATTACACTGAGTTTATTTTAAGTGTTTGTATGACATTCCAAAATATAATTTGGGGGTAAAACTATTATAGATATGTGTACACACATTATTCTTGTTAGAATATTTATTAATTGTAGTTTTTTCATCATTAAGACTGAAACCCCAAGATTTTCAATAATTTTCAAAATAAAAACCAAGAAACCAAGACGGCAACTAAAAAAAAAAAAACCCCAAGATCTTGGGGGAAAAACCCAGCATTGGCATTCCTGCTTGTGGCGGCTTGTGCGATGATCTACTTTCTTCCCCTGTCACCTGTGTATCAATACGCCAGGTGAGACACGGTAGTGACACCTGCCTAAGAACTCATTAGTGTTAGATTTTCTCACATTTCATACTGAGGAGAAGAGACACCGATGTAAAATATTAGAAAGAAATCAATATATCTGCAAAAATAAGAACTTGAAGGGAGACCCCATTCTTCTTGTTCTTCATTTCCCGACTGAAAGTTCCGGGGGAAAGTCTTTGTTGTTCGTCCATTAGAACTTTGGCTTTATTGCCAGGGCCTGAGTTTTGCGTGTAAAAAAAGTAAAGCACCCTTTCCCACGCCTTTAGGCGTATAGGGCATATAGGGCTAGACCTATATTTTATAGACCAATCGGCACAAGATGAGTGATGTGGTCAGCATCACACCGGCCGCCTTTACTTCCCGGGACTGCACCCGGTACCCACTCAAGGCTGAAAAAGTGCGGCTCCGCCAGGGACCGAACCCACCGTCTTCCGGTCCGCGGCCTGCGTGTAGCCGCTCCGTCACGGCGATTCCCTGAGTGTTGCGTGTATGTCCGTTTTACTGGATTATTTGTGTGCATTTGTTGTTCATTGCCGCTCAGGCAGATGTATTTCGACTCCAAAGGAAGCCCCCAATCAGTCGACTCTTACGACAAGCTTGTAGAAGAGGCAGTGGGTCTGTTCTTGTTTTCCCCTATTTGGACCCCGGAACCCACATGGAAAAAGGGAAACGTTAATTATGGGACCTTGTTATGTGCTCTGCGATGATTTACCCTTCCACCCCACCCCCACCAAGACAAGAGCAAAGCGCGTCGGAGATCCATTGCATCCCACCTTCATCTCGAAGACGACACCTGATTGGTAAGTGCTCACAAAAGTCTATAAAATAAAACTACAATAGTAGTGGGAGCCGCGTTAGCGCAGTCGATACGAGGTTCGCTTTCAAATCCAGCTGCGACTCGCTGTAGCCAACGGTGGGTGTTCGAAACTGGGCGAGTGTCGGGGTTAACCCAGCCTCTAGGAAATGGGTACCAAAGTTGACACTCTCTCTGGGGTAAATGGAGGAACGTCGCTGTAGCTACAGAGTTACGCGCCGACAGCGACACAGCCGGACAATTTCTGATCAACTGTCCGTACTGGTGGCAGAAATGAGAAAATGTTTTTTTTTTTAAATGTTTGCCAGTCGGACTCATTTAATCATCCCCTTTTTAAAAATCAGACGGAGACTATCATTAGACCTATGCTTGATGAATATACATTTCTCTAACCTATGGTGCAATTCAATGGTTGGAGATTAATTCTGTCCGTATTCCAGTGTGGTGGATTTCAAGCTGCACGATAGACATGGCATATGAAGACACCTTTTTTCAGGGGTGCCTAGTTAGTCATGTTCTCAGTATACTTGTTTCCAGAGCGAGGCGCATACGCCATTTGAAGGTGACAGGTACGATTCCCGGCACGGTAGGTATAGCTTTCGATTTTTATGTTGTCTAATGTGTCTTTCTATCTTTCGACTTCTTTCTATGAGTGCCGATCAATACATTGTCTGTTTGTTTATTATATATATTGTATTAATAAGGCATCGGAATGATGATTGCCCGTACTTAATCTACATAAATGTCAGTTATGGATCTTCTTTGTACTTTCTTGTATACTGCAACATGAAACATGATAATATTGCATGGCCGTGTGCACATCGAACAAGCCGTAACGCGTATAGACCTACCTTCTATTTTAAATTTCTTTTTTTTTACCAGGAATCATTTCTTTTCGGGAGTAAATTTCTTTCAACATATCTTCATGACGTTTTCTATTACTTTAATTTGTCCACGGTGTTTTCGTCAGTCTTTTCTCTTCTTCGCATTCATCAGAGGAAAGTTCTGGTTGTTCGTCTGTCTTTAGACTTTAGGCCTGTTTCAGAACTTGATCCTCGCGTGCAAGTCTGTTTTACAGATTTGAGTCAGGAATGCAGACTGTTGGTTCCTCGACTCCAACGGGAAGCCCTCAGTTTGTCGTTTCTTATGACGTGCATGTTGGGGAGGCAGTGGGTCTATTCTTGTTATCCCCATAATGGGGTCCCGGAACCCACACGGGGTCGTTCTTCCATATAATCCAATTTTGCAGCTTCTACCTTTTCCTTTTCATGTCCATGATACCTCTTGATTCTCTTGCTATTCTTGTTTTATTATATTATCTAAATCGAGATCATTGCACATTGGCCTAAATCTTTGGATACATATCTTTTCTCCAGACTATGCCGGCGTGGTGGGTAATGAACAGCCCGGCAGATTAGCTGGATCTGCACCATTGGGTGGTGAATTGATACATGACAAGGCAGATGTGGTCAAGGCTCTTTGGAAACAAGCAACGGGATCAGTTGAGAAAGAAGATTATTGTGGTATGGAGAGAATAAGGCACCTAGGTGTAAATAGAGAGTGTGGCCGGCTGACTACACTCAGAGGAAAGGCAAAACGGAAATTTAACCAGATTGTGACTGGTACCATCAGCTGGCTGCTGAAGATGAGGACGGAGCATGCATGGGAATGCCCCGAGTGCTGTGATGTCAATTCTTGACTCAACTCAACTTTGGATACAGCAGCCACTGCAAGGCACATATACTGGGAGTTCCCAAAAGGAGTTGCTTATGTCTCCTAATTCGGCATTGAAGGCGGCATGGTCGTGCTTTACCGTGATTAACTCCCAGGTCACTAAGTCATGTTATGTGAGAGATTCGTCATTATCTGCTAGCCCAGTTTGCACAGCGCAGTTGATGTCTGCTCTGTCCATGCCTCTTTCAGCATGCGCTGGTGCATTGCTGACCACTTGGTCCGCTCGCTCATTACCCTTTACGCTGACATCACTAACTGGTTGTTTAACCGGTGTTCCTCAACATTTTTTTTACACCCGCGGCCCACCAGAACAGAGGTAACTACTTCATTGTTCACCGGCTGTAAGCTCCGGCGAAGTGTCCTGTTCGTCCATTTGGAGTTTCCCTTTGTGACAGGTTCTGAGTTTCTCGTATACATCCGATTTACCCGATTATTTGTGTGCAGCTAGTTGTTCCTTGCCGCTGGGGCAGATGCACTACGACCTCTTAGGAAGTCCCAAATTAGTCGACTCCTGCGACACGCTTGCTGGGGAGGCAGTGGGTCTATTTTCGTTTTTTACAATGGGGCCCCGGAACCGACACGAGAAACAGGGGTATCAGTTTTGTGGCCCATCTGACAGCAACAAAACCAAATGCAGATAGCAGTTTATGGCTGGAATCATCGTCATCATCAGGTGCCTTGCCGACTGGCGTGGGCGATCATGCCTCTCCACAATCCGCGATTCCCTTGCAGCATGTATTAGTTTGTGTGCTGACACACCTCCATGCCATGCAACAAGACTGTCAAGAATCTTCTCTCGTTGTCTTCCTCTTCTCCTCCTTCCATAGATCTTTCTAGTGGTCACCACATGTTCCATTGTCCCACTTCTCATAACATGACAGAAAAATGATGACTGTCTCCTTCTGATGTCTGTGATTAGTTGTCTTTGGGCTCCCGCCTCTTTCAAAATCTCTTGGT